TTTCAAATAGAATTAGCTTACCACCCTCAGGTGAGTCTTGAACGGCAGGGTTGGCTTTATCAGCAGTTTCCACGGCAGAGCACGAGCTCATACAAGGTGTTTGTCCGTGGTAAAGAAGAAGCCTCCCCTCGGGGAATCGAACCCCGGTCTTCCGCGTGACAGGCGGAGATACTGTCCACTATACTAACGAGGACCGGTCGTCAAAGCAGTGTCCCTGAGCGGTATGGCATTGTATGCCTCTCCCTCTCCTGTGGAGGAATCCACCTGCAATCCAAGGAGATGAAGGGTTTGTTCATTTAGCCTCCAGAAAGTTCCATTAAAATATCAAGCGAATTCTAGACACTGGTCTTCCACGTACTACTGGATTCAGGGACATCCTCTTAGACAGGGTTTGCCGGTCATCTGGTGATGGGGCAGATTCTTATTACATTTGCTCCATCCTCTAATGGAAATGGCTATATTATTGTTTTTAACAAAAAAAGACAAAAAAGCTTGGTGGGAGGAGCCTGCACCAGACATTACCCTTGCTGAGCATGGTGGCATGTGTGTGATAGCACATTGTCCCAACGTCTCATGGTTACAGCTCGAGTTTCTCTTCATTCACGCATAAATCTTTCGCCTTTTACTAAAGATTTCCGTGGAGGGGAACGTTTGCGAGTTATTGGTATTTTTGGATGCTCTGCTCACAGTAGAGCTAAATGCCTTTGTTCAAAAACAGAAGACTTTTTGTTTGGAGTTGGGTGGTGGTCAAACCATTGCCACTTTCCCAGTTCACAACTTCAAATCTTGGGTCAGCAGAATGATTGTAAGGTTTACCAATCACAAAAGGGTAGTGTTGGGAGAAACAAAGCTTTTCAAAGCTTTCAACTGATTGCTTTGCAAATTGATTAACTGTTTCAACGCATTCGGAAGGCCACACTGGTGACCCCTGCTGGTCAGATTGGAAATGCAACACTGGAAATGCCACACAAACTCAGGTCAAACATGCATAAACCAAGCTTTTACAAACCAATGCAAATGCTATCTTGAAAGTAAAACCTTTCAAATAGAATTAGCTAACCACCCTCAGGTGAGTCTTGAACGGCAGGGTTGGCTTTATCAGCAGTTTCCACAGCAGAGCATGAGCTCATACAAGGTGTTTGTCCGTGGTAAAGAAGAAGCCTCCCCGTCGGGGAATCGAACCCCGGTCTTCCGCGTGACAGGCGGAGATACTGTCCACTATACTAACGAGGACCGGTCGTCACAGCAGTGTCCCTGAGCGGTACGGGATTGTATGCTCAGCCGTTGAGAAGTCAATTAATACTGGACATGCTTTATGGGAGTTATTGTTATTTAAGCCTTTCATTTTGGCCAAGGGGGGCAGAAAGAGGAGCTCTCCCTCTCCTGTGGAGGAATCCACCTGCAATCCAAGGAGATGAACGGTTTGTTCATTTAGCCTCCAGAAAGTTCCTAAAAACCTCATGCGAATTCTAGACACTGGTCTTCCACGTACTACTGGATTCAGGGACATCCTCTTAGACAGGGTTTGCCGGTCATCTGGTGATGGGGCAGATTCTTATTACATTTGCTCTATCCTCTAATGTTTCAACGCATTCGGATGGCCACACTGGTGAACCCTGCTGGTCAGATTGGAAATGCAATAGTGGAAATGCCACACAAACTTAGGTCAAACATGCATAAACCAACCTTTTACAAACCAATGCAAATGCTATCTTGAAAGTAAAACCTTTCAAATAGAATTAGCTTACCACCCTCAGGTGAGTCTTGAACGGCAGGGTTGGCTTTATCAGCAGTTTCCACGGCAGAGCACGAGCTCATACAAGGTGTTTGTCCGTGGTAAAGAAGAAGCCTCCCCGTCGGGGAATCGAACCCCGGTCTTCCACGTGACAGGCGGAGATACTGTCCACTATACTAACGAGGACCGGTCGTCAAAGCAGTGTCCCTGAGCGGTATGGCATTGTATGCCTCTCCCTCTCCTGTGGAGGAATCCACCTGCAATCCAAGGAGATGAAGGGTTTGTTCATTTAGCCTCCAGAAAGTTCCATTAAAATATCAAGCGAATTCTAGACACTGGTCTTCCACGTACTACTGGATTCAGGGACATCCTCTTAGACAGGGTTTGCCGGTCATCTGGTGATGGGGCAGATTCTTATTACATTTGCTCCATCCTCTAATGGAAATGGCTATATTATTGTTTTTAACAAAAAAAGACAAAAAAGCTTGGTGGGAGGAGCCTGCACCAGACATTACCCTTGCTGAGCATGGTGGCATGTGTGTGATAGCACATTGTCCCAACGTCTCATGGTTACAGCTCGAGTTTCTCTTCATTCACGCATAAATCTTTCGCCTTTTACTAAAGATTTCCGTGGAGGGGAACGTTTGCGAGTTATTGGTATTGTAGATTTAAAATCTTCGTTTCCCCTTGTTATTTAATTTAATGAAAAGACACCAGTCATTCTGCCAATATATGTTATTTATTTTACCAATTTATATAAGACATAAGGGAGAGAGAGTGGACCAGCAAAGATCGTCCTTGTTGCCTCTCTGTATTTTTCCTCTCTCTGTCTCAAACAAAGAGCTACACAGTACATATAGCTGCTAACATCTGCTCTCCATCAATCACCGAAATGTATATTCTGCTCCACGGAAAGAAACATAATACACTCAACTTCCCCCCAAGTCCCCAAACTCTAAAAGTCTTCCACATACAGAATTCAGAAAAGTTTGATTCATAAAAATGTAGATTATAAATGATTATGAATATATATGAAAAGTATAAAAAATGTATATGAAAAGTGTAAATCACATGCATAATACTAATGATTATAATTATTAATAAAAACAATAAAAAAACTAAAAACAACATTAAATGATGAGATTGTGAATCTTCAGTCCCTCCTCTGGAACTACGGCCGTCAGTTCCACACCATCATCTCCAGGTGGCCAACCTATTGAAGTGATAGTGCTGAGGAGAAATAGTAGACCAAGACATAGACATAGAAGACAAAAGAATTGAAACAGAAAAGGAAAGAAATAACAAACAAAAACCCAACCCATGTTATGTCCCCGTATGCTATGTGTCATTTAACATCTATGTGTAAGCATTTAAAATGAACCCCAATCATCTAAGAAAAGAAAAACTAAAAAGTCTTCTGCCCGTGCCTGGACTCATTAATTAATTAACTCGTTAATTAATTAACTCCTCCAGTTCCGAGCCAAAATAAGAAATCAAAATAAACGTTGATGTTAAAGGGTCCTATCCCTTGGGGTTGCAAATCAGTAAGCGGGTGTTCATTGTTTGTGAGGTTGTGTTTTGTAAGTAGTGTAGTGTATAAAATCTCCTATCTCACACCGTATTTTCCATTCTCGGCTCTATCCATTTTGTCAGTAATAACCAATCTAAAAGGTTTGGTACTTCTCTTTCTTATCACATATATGATAAGTTTTATTACTAACAGAAACACAAAAACTCCTACCATAGTCAAAACTATCCATTCCAACCATGTTAAATTCCCTGGAATTCGAGCTAATTTCCTCTCAGACATCAATTTAGCTACTCCATTCGCTACGATAACATGACCCATTGCTTGAATTCCCTCCTCTTGAGCTGCCTTAACGCTTGCTTTAACTCTCTTGACCATTTCAAAGAGTTCATAATTCCTCTCTTCCACCAAATCATTATTCCACCACTGTGGATCTAACTGCAACAATTGCACATGTGGGACATGAATTCCACCCAATTGAAGAGGATAGAGAATCTCAACGCAAAATGGATCAGAAGGAATTGGACATAGCTTTCCTCCGTATATCATATTTTCATTTATTCCGTCATGTAATATACACCACTGTGCTTCTGACACCTGCCATGCACCTGTGGCTTGATCTAAAGGAACTACTTCCCAAACTGCAGATCCATTAAGAGACAGACTAAACATTGTAGAACATGAGCAAATTACCCACTCATGTTCCTCAACACAACAGTCTGTAGTAGAAATCATTGGTGTTTCACCTTCAGCCCAATATCCATTCCTTCCCAATCTAATTACTGAATTCCCTTGTCTAACCCCCATTGATTGGAATCGTCTAACTGTCATAATATTGCGTTTCCCATATTGAGGCCAGACCATAATCAAAGGTAATGTTCCAGAACCTGACAACGAATCTTCATTGATTGCGATTTTAACTAATGGAGCATGTTTAGCAGAAGTCAAATTAAGTTGTTTTCCAAAAACCCATAACAAATATTCCGCTATTCGCTCAGGAACTTGCCCCATTCGAATAACCTGAATATCCTCTACCATTTGATCCTTCAAATTCTGAGCCAAAAATAAACACGCTGCACGATGTGTCTCAAAATTAGACGATTTCACTAATGCATCTGCCAATTCCCTCGCTGCGTCATTAAGATGCTGACCCGCTGCTATAATATGTAGAGAACCTTGAAGAGTCTCAGTAAGTCCTTTGCCGGTCATTGTTCCCACCCACTGAGAGTACTCACTTAATTGTTTCAGCTGAGCAGTATTACTAATTGAATTGACAGAGCCAAATACCCCCGCTATGTCTCCCCATATACTTCGAGATTTACGATTTCGACTTCCAAGAGGATCCTTAGAGGTATAATATTTAATTTCTTTTTCCAACCAGCTCCTAATTTTTGTGAAATTTCCACAATAGGACTGATCATACACAGTAAGAAGAGACATCAAGTTATAATTAATGCGTTGTCGCACCATATGAGCTTCGTTTATCAAGGTTTTGGTTTCCTTTGCTAACAATATACCATGAGCTGGTGCAATAGTTGTACTTGGGCATGTTTTAGCTTTGTTTGTCTTTCCCGCAGAAAGATAAAAACACCGTCCAATTTCCCCAGTTTCTAATTCAGTCTCACAATATTCATTCGCATCTTCCGAATGCCAAACTCGTATGTAATTTCCCTTGAATCTAGTTGTCCTGGAGGTAGCATCCCATAGAAACCCCTCGCATGGTAACACTATGGATAGATACAGCCTAGGGCTAATGAATCCCATATTGTAAGCATGTGGGTACGATTCAAAATGAAATTAATTTCCACATCAGTAGATGTTATGAGGTTTAACCCCACAATTTCACATTGTTCTTTTGAACAAATTTCTCGTCTTTGAGCACTACCGGTATACCCCCATCTTTCACCGGCCAAATTACTCTGCTTTTGTAACATTGGTGGTGAAAGTTACATCCACCGTAGATGCCCACTCGATATTTAGCAAGGTCTTTATCATTACGTGGCACCCAATCCCATAATCCCCATCTGGAAATAAAGGGTAGAGTAAAACGTTGGCCAGATTTCAGGGTTGCATTCCGAGTAATTTCTTGAACTCGAGGAGTCCATAAAGCTTGGCTTCCTTGGTAAATGCCAAGTAAAATTAAAAACAAGCATACCATTGTCGTTGTGTATCGAGAATAACTTGCGACCATCTCTAATCAATGTCAATGGAATTGATTCCTGAAATGGAAGCAGAAAAATAATTAATCATCACTCCTTTTTCCCAAAGTTAATGAGTGAACAGTGCTCAATCTCAGGTCCTAAGCCTTCATCATTTTGTTCATTCACTAAGCAAGGTTTAACTTGTGACCAATGATACCATCTATCTGTTCCTACACCCTTCCCTTTTAGGCAGACACTTGTATCTGTTGTTAAGAGTACCTCATATGGCCCCTCCCACCTAGGTTCTAAACCTTTCCTGGGAATACGTTTGACCATAACAAAACTGCCTAACTCAGGAATGTGTGGAATGTCAGTAGTGGTATGTTTTTCATCCCATTGCTGTTGAGCTTCTCGCACTTTCTTATTATTGTCTTTGATTGCTTTGTCCAGCATTGTAAGATAGCGTCGCAGCTTCTCTTGGAACAAAGTAGAGTCTCCTCCTGTTCCCGCAGGCGGCGGAGCATCAGGAGGCAGAACCATTGCTCTTCCAGTCATCAGTTCAAAAGGAGTCAGTCCCGTCACTCTGTTCGGGGTTGCTCTCAGATTCCACAAAATTGTGGGTAACAACTTATGCCATCCTTGGCCAGTTTGCAGAATGGCCTTGGTAAGAGCGGTTTTCAACGATCTGTTCATCCGTTCCACTAGGCCTGAACTTTGAGGTCTGTACGGGACGTGAAACTTCTGTTTAATCCCCATCAATTTCATTGCTTCCTTCATCAGTTTTCCAGTGAAGTGAGTTCCATTGTCAGAATCAAGTTCATATGGAAGACCCCAGCGAGGAAAGACTTGTTCAACCATCACTCGTGCGGCTGCTTCAGCAGTGCAGGTTTTTGTTGGGAATGCTTCCACCCATCTAGTAAATCTGTCCATGATTACTAGAATGTATTGGTACCCTCCACTGGGTGACAAAGGTCCTGTGAAATCGATTTGGAGATGTGTCCATGGACCTGTTGGTCTGGGTGCATGTGACATCCGCACCTTTACAGATTTTCCAACATTTGCTTTCAGACAGATCAAGCATCTTCTACAGTAATCATCAATGTCTCTCATCATTCGTGGCCACCACCACGTCTCGCTGATTTGAGCTTTCATTGCTTTTGCTCCAGCATGTACTTTTCCATGATACAGCTGCATTAGTTCTCTTCTTGTTCCGATAGGCATCACCACTTGTCCTGTTGGAATTCTCCAGATACCTTGATCATCCTCTTTCGCTCCCGCTTTTATCCATTGTTCTTTCTCTTCATCTGTCTCAGTTTGATATGACAGAAGGCGGAGCTCAGGATTATCTTTGCTGTTTTCCTGTACCAAGGTAACAGGAGTAAGAGGAAGTAGTGCTGCTTCTCTGGCCGCTGCATCTGCTGCCGTGTTTCCTTGACTTTCTTTGGATTTGTCAGATTGATGTGATTTCACTTTGATCACGGCTGCTTCTCTGGGTAGGTGACATGCTGCAATCAAACGACGAATTATGGAAGCATGTTGTATTTCGCTCCCATTGCTGGTGATAAGTCCACGTTTTTTCCACAGGGCAAGGTAGTCATGGACCACTCCAAAAGCATAACGACTATCTGTGTAGATGTTGACTCGTTGTCCTTCCGATAATTCGAAAGCTTCTGCAAGTGCTATGAGCTCAGCTACTTGTGCTGAAAAATGCCCAGAAAGAGCTCCTTTCTTCACGACATTTCCATCAGCTTCCACTACAGCCCATCCAGTATGCCGTTTTCCATCAACATAGTAACTGGATCCATCGACCCATAACTCCTTGTCTGGATTTTCAAGAGGTGTTGGATTAACAGGACCAAGACTTTCTTCTTCTACTTGTTTTTCACACTCATGTGGTGTTCCCTCATGTGGTTCGATCATCATTGTTGCAGGGTTAAGGGATGTGTCTCTGATGATTTCCACTCTCAAATCCTTGTTCAACAAAGTTGCTTCCCATTTTGCTCTCCTTGCATCAGTAATGGTCTTGATGTTTGTGTTGTTCAGCAACGTCACTATACTGTGTGGAGTATGCAATATGATTGTTTGTGTATAGGTATGTGTGTGTGGGGCTCCCTGCCTCTCTCCCTCACCAACTGGATGTGTGTGTGTGAAGGTACAGGCAATTCTGAAGGGAGGGGCTGCTTCGCTCTCTTTCTCCCTCACTCACAGAACAAAAGAAAAATTTAAAGAAAAGTTAACTCTAATGCTTTTCAGTATTTTAGTTTTCTTTTTAAAACTCAAAACAGTTCCTTTTTTTTCTTTCTTCTCAAATACTTTGGATTTTATCTCAGATTAATTTCTTTGGTATTTATTTTTTCTTAAAGTTAACTCGGATCAGTCTCCTCAAATATTTGAACAGCTTTACGGTCAGGTTCAGAATGCCCACGATCCTAGCTAGTTACAAGGGCGCCTTTTATACTTGTATAACTCTAGCGTGTTACAATGTTTTAGGGATTACCCTGCCATCGTTTTAAACAGTCCCGCCACATTTAACCGCTTTGGTCAATCAAGTATCACTTGTGTTACAACTTTCCTCGTCTCCTACTGAGAATGAATCTTCGGTGTGCTGGATGTTTTAGGGATTACTCTGCCTTCTTTAAACAGTCCCGCCACTATCCAACCACGTCGCAGTTATAACCAAGCAAATTTTACTAGCTTAACCGATTTACAGCTAATTCCAAATTTCTGACTAGATGGTCTTTTTTTCTAAAAAAGATCCACCTCTATCCCAGCATTTCAAATATGATTTGAGGTTTACTTTTCAGAGAACTTAAATAAGCCAAATTCAATTCAAATGACTTAATTTTTATTCATTTTGGTATTTATATTTTACTATGTCTTATATTCATTGGCAAAACAACTGGTACCTAAAATCAAACAGTTCTTTCAGCAGTTTCAGTCACTGTCTCTAATCATCAGGCAGACTTAGAACTTTTTATAAAGCAAAAAGTCTTACCTGCTATGATTGAGACGAATGCCTGGACATGCATCCTGTTCCCGTGACGCCAAATTGTAGATCTAAAAAAACTTATTTTGCTTTCCCCATGAAAAGAGACACCAGTGACTTTGCCAAGAGATCTCTCGAATTTATTTATAATATTTATAAGACATAGGAGGAAGAGAAACAGAGGTCTTCATTCTGCATCGTTACCATCTCTTCCTACTTTTTGAACAAAGGGTCTCAGTCTTTATACCACTGACCAAGAAAAAACTGCATCACCATAGTAACACATACCTATGACCACAAGAACATGTGGTTTCCATTTACTATGGAATGTATATCGTTTCCCTATACACTGCATAAACTTTCAGTCTCACTCCAACATACATTCACTCATACAGTTTAACTTATCCCAAAGTCTCCTAAAGTCTCTCTCTCTCCCACATCTTCAAAACATTATAATCACAAATGCAAAGATTACAAATAATAATGTGTGTATACATGTAATAAAACAGATACATATTATGAATATTAATACAAAATAATAATAGTACTAAAAACAACATTAAATGATGAGATTGTGAATCTTCAGTATTTTTGGATGCTCTGCTCACAGTAGAGCTAAATGCCTTTGTTCAAAAACAGAAGACTTTTTGTTTGGAGTTGGGTGGTGGTCAAACCATTGCCACTTTCCCAGTTCACAACTTCAAATCTTGGGTCAGCAGAATGATTGTAAGGTTTACCAATCACAAAAGGGTAGTGTTGGGAGAAACAAAGCTTTTCAAAGCTTTCAACTGATTGCTTTGCAAATTGATTAACTGTTTCAACGCATTCGGAAGGCCACACTGGTGACCCCTGCTGGTCAGATTGGAAATGCAACACTGGAAATGCCACACAAACTCAGGTCAAACATGCATAAACCAAGCTTTTACAAACCAATGCAAATGCTATCTTGAAAGTAAAACCTTTCAAATAGAATTAGCTAACCACCCTCAGGTGAGTCTTGAACGGCAGGGTTGGCTTTATCAGCAGTTTCCACAGCAGAGCATGAGCTCATACAAGGTGTTTGTCCGTGGTAAAGAAGAAGCCTCCCCGTCAGGGAATCGAACCCCGGTCTTCCGCGTGACAGGCGGAGATACTGTCCACTATACTAACGAGGACAGGCGGAGATACTGTCCACTATACTAACGAGGACCGGTCGTCACAGCAGTGTCCCTGAGCGGTACGGCATTGTATGCTCAGCCGTTGAGAAGTCAATTAATACTGGACATGCTTTATGGGAGTTATTGTTATTTAAGCCTTTCATTTTGGCCAAGGGGGGCAGGAAGAGGAGCTCTCCCTCTCCTGTGGAGGAATCCACCTGCAATCCAAGGAGATGAAGGGTTTGTTCATTTAGCCTCCAGAAAGTTCCTAAAAACCTCATGCGAATTCTAGACACTGGTCTTCCACGTACTACTGGATTCAGGGACATCCTCTTAGACAGGGTTTGCCGGTGATCTGGTGATGGGGCAGATTCTTATTACATTTGCTCCATCCTCTAATGTTTCAACGCATTCGGATGGCCACACTGGTGAACCCTGCTGGTCAGATTGGAAATGCAATAGTGGAAATGCCACACAAACTTAGGTCAAACATGCATAAACCAACCTTTTACAAACCAATGCAAATGCTATCTTGAAAGTAAAACCTTTCAAATAGAATTAGCTTACCACCCTCAGGTGAGTCTTTAACGGCAGGGTTGGCTTTATCAGCAGTTTCCACGGCAGAGCACGAGCTCATACAAGGTGTTTGTCCGTGGTAAAGAAGAAGCCTCCCCGTCGGGGAATCGTACCCCGGTCTTCCGCGTGACAGGCGGAGATACTGTCCACTATACTAACGAGGACAGGTCGTCAAAGCAGTGTCCCTGAGCGGTACGGCATTGTATGCCTCTCCCTCTCCTGTGGAGGAATTCACCTGCAATCCAAGGAGATGAAGGGTTTGTTCATTTAGCCTCCAGAAAGTTCCATTAAAATATCAAGCGAATTCTAGACACTGGTCTTCCACGTACTACTGGATTCAGGGACATCCTCTTAGACAGGGTTTGCCGGTCATCTGGTGATGGGGCAGATTCTTATTACATTTGCTCCATCCTCTAATGGAAATGGCTATATTATTGTTTTTAACAAAAAAAGACAAAAAAGCTGGGTGGGAGGAGCCTGCACCAGACATTACCCTTGCTGAGCATGGTGGCATGTGTGTGATAGCACATTGTCCCAACGTCTCATGGTTACAGCTCGAGTTTCTCTTCATTCACGCATAAATCTTTCGCCTTTTACTAAAGATTTCCGTGGAGGGGAACGTTTGCGAGTTATTGGTATTTTTGGATGCTCTGCTCACAGTAGAGCTAAATGCCTTTGTTCAAAAACAGAAGACTTTTTGTTTGGAGTTGGGTGGTGGTCAAACCATTGCCACTTTCCCAGTTCACAACTTCAAATCTTGGGTCAGCAGAATGATTGTAAGGTTTACCAATCACAAAAGGGTAGTGTTGGGAGAAACAAAGCTTTTCAAAGCTTTCAACTGATTGCTTTGCAAATTGATTAACTGTTTCAACGCATTCGGAAGGCCACACTGGTGACCCCTGCTGGTCAGATTGGAAATGCAACACTGGAAATGCCACACAAACTCAGGTCAAACATGCATAAACCAACCTTTTACAAACCAATGCAAATGCTATCTTGAAAGTAAAACCTTTCAAATAGAATTAGCTAACCACCCTCAGGTGAGTCTTGAACGGCAGGGTTGGCTTTATCAGCAGTTTCCACAGCAGAGCATGAGCTCATACAAGGTGTTTGTCCGTGGTAAAGAAGAAGCCTCCCCGTCGGGGAATCGAACCCCGGTCTTCCACGTGACAGGCGGAGATACTGTCCACTATACTAACGAGGACCGGTCGTCACAGCAGTGTCCCTGAGCGGTACGGGATTGTATGCTCAGCCGTTGAGAAGTCAATTAATACTGGACATGCTTTATGGGAGTTATTGTTATTTAAGCCTTTCATTTTGGCCAAGGGGGGCAGAAAGAGGAGCTCTCCCTCTCCTGTGGAGGAATCCACCTGCAATCCAAGGAGATGAACGGTTTGTTCATTTAGCCTCCAGAAAGTTCCTAAAAACCTCATGCGAATTCTAGACACTGGTCTTCCACGTACTACTGGATTCAGGGACATCCTCTTAGACAGGGTTTGCCGATCATCTGGTGATGGGGCAGATTCTTATTACATTTGCTCTATCCTCTAATGCAGCCTTTCTCAAAGTGGGTGCCGCGGCACACTGGGGTGCCCCCTGACTGTGTCTGGGGTGCCGCCAAAAAATTACGTAGGCTAAAAAAAAACAAAAAAATAAAAAAAAAAAACTGACATTTCATATATAAATATATTTGAATTTACATATTTACATTCTTCTTTTTAAACATATGAACGTATTAATAAAATTGTAAATTCATTTTAGATAAATATATAAAATTAAGCATAAAAATCCGTCTCGCAAGACACAAAACTTGACGGAAGTGACGCAATCCATAGCAACGCGTTATAGCAACAACACCTCAGACTGACAGAAACATAAAAATAAACGTAAATTTAGGTCACTTTAGTTACAGCATTGTGGATCTTTTTTTTTTTTTTAAAGAAAATCCCCCCAAGAACCGGACAGTTTTTCTGTGAAATGGAGCCTCAGCCTACTACTTCAGTACTGGGGATGCAACATGCCCTCTCCCGTTGTGTTTAATATACTATCAAACCAAGGGATGATTCCGCAAACTTAAAAGACACCTGACCACCTCTCATCCAACCCTGCTAGGATAGGGCGGCTGTGTGCGTCGCACCAGGCTCACGTCTCGATTGTGGTCACCCCCACCCCCGGCTTGTGTAAGCGCGTATACGCGCTGCATGCACGCATGTAGATCGTTCTCCCTCTCTCGTTGTGGATTATTGTTTGTGTGTGTGGGTGTATGTGTATGTGGGTGTGTGTGTGTGTGTGTGTGTGTGTGTGTGTGTGCATGTGCATGGCACGGATAAAAAACAAAAACTATATGGAAAAACATTCCTGCTTATCTCTGGTGCATTTTTTA